AGCGAATGGGAGAAGATGTTCCAGAAATTCATATTGGCACAATCGCATTACAAATTGGTTAGCAGCTATCTTAAATACCATTCAGCCCTTAACTCGATTAGACTGAACGCTCGTGTTTCGTGGTCAGGTTAAAATAGTCTAGTCTATAGTGTAGTCTACAATCTAGTCTATAGTCTAGTCTATAGTCTAGTCTATAGTGTAGTCTACAATCTAGTCTATAGTCTAGTCTATAGTCTAGTCTATAGTCTAGTCTATAGTCTAGTCTATAGTCTAGTCTATAGTCTAGTCTATAGTCTAGTCTATAGTCTAGTCTATAGTCTAGTCTATAGTCTAGTCTATAGTCTAGTCTATAGTCTAGTCTATAGTCTAGTCTATAGTCTAGTCTATAGTCTAGTCTATAGTCTAGTCTATAGTCTAGTCTATAGTCTAGTCTATAGTCTAGTCTATAGTCTAGTCTATAGTCTAGTCTATAGTCTAGTCTATAGTCTAGTCTATAGTCTAGTCTATAGTCTAGTCTATAGTCTAGTCTATAGTCTAGTCTATAGTCTAGTCTATAGTCTAGTCTATAGTCTAGTCTATAGTCTAGTCTATAGTCTAGTCTATAGTCTAGTCTATAGTCTAGTCTATAGTCTAGTCTATAGTCTAGTCTATAGTCTAGTCTATAGTCTAGTCTATAGTCTAGTCTATAGTCTAGTCTATAGTCTAGTCTATAGTCTAGTCTATAGTCTAGTCTATAGTCCTAGTCTATAGTCTAGTCATAGTCTTAGTCATAGTCTAGTCTATAGTCTAGTCTAATAGTCCTAGTCTATAGTCTAGTCTATAGTCTAGTCTATAGTCTAGTCTATAGTCTAGTCTATAGTCTAGTCTATAGTCTAGTCTATAGTCTAGTCTATAGTCTAGTCTATAGTCTAGTCTATAGTCTAGTCTATAGTCTAGTCTAGTAGTCTAGTCTATAGTCTAGTCTATAGTCTAGTCTATAGTCTAGTCTATAGTCCTAGTCTATAGTCTAGTCTATAGTCTAGTCTATAGTCTAGTCTATAGTCTAGTCTATAGTCTAGTCTATAGTCTAGTCTATAGTCTAGTCTATAGTCTAGTCTATAGTCTAGTCTATAGTCTAGTCTATAGTCTAGTCTATAGTCCTAGTCTATAGTCTAGTCTATAGTCTAGTCTATAGTCTAGTCTATAGTCTAGTCTATAGTCTAGTCCTATAGTCTAGTCTATAGTCTAGTCTATAGTCTAGTCTATAGTCTAGTCTATAGTCTAGTCTATAGTCTAGTCTATAGTCTAGTCTATAGTCTAGTCTATAGTCTAGTCTATAGTCTAGTCTATAGTCTAGTTTATAGTCTAGGCTATTGTCTAGTCTATAGTCTAGTATAGTCTACAGTCTAGTTTATAGTCTAGTCTTTAGTCTAGTCTATAGTCTAGTATAGTCTACAGTCTAGTTTATAGTCTAGTCTTTAGTCTAGTCTATAGTCTAGTCTATAGTCTAGTCTATAGTTTAGTCTAAAGTCTAGTCTTTAGTTTAACATAAAGTCTAGTATATAGTCTAGTCTAAAGTCTAGTTTTGAACCGATTTTAATGTTATTGCATTTTAACATAATAATTTGAAATTAACGGAAATGCTGCTTCATATTTATCAGCTGAGCATTTAAACAATTGTCACACACGGCCCAAAAACTACCCGCTCATGAAAAACCAATGACATTTTACCACTCACCCAGTGTCAAACTAAATTTAGTAACACAGTTGTTACAGCTGATCGAAGACGTTCCGAAGAAAATTTTCTGTACAATTTTTTGTTAAAGACTATTTCCGTTTTTAATTAAGAAACTTTTTAATTTTTAAAAGAAAACAAGAGATGTATTAATTAATTAAAGTAGATAATTTAACACACAATCAAAAGCATTTAGCAAAAAGCAAGGAAATAACTTCAGCATTATGGTAAGTAAAAGAAAAATTTAAAGAAAAGAACATTTCAATGCTTTGGACAAATCACGCATTGCATTATGAATTATGAACCAAAAATAGATTTTGACCCAAAATTTTTGGGTTCTCTTAAAATGAAGTATGTATAGAAAACTGAACATTCCAATGATTGATTACAGGCAGTTTTAGGAGCTCAATTGGTGATTACACTGATTATGGTCAGTGTAATACAAAAACTAAATCCACACTTTTCATTTGCCAAATGGATTTTGTGTTCAACCGGCTTATATCGTTACTTACACCCCACCGACGATGAACTGAGGACGAAGGGAGGTGTGCCCAAGGAGAAACCACAAAAAGGCGGCTATAAAGGCAACAAACATCAACAGAATGGTACGGTTAAAAGTAAAGAGGGTCAATTTCATATACCACGTAGCATAGAGATTGATTTGGAAACCACGCCGGTGGTTGCTAAGGATGTTATATATTTAAGATATTTTACCGAATATCAATGGTTGGTGGATTTTAGCGTATATGCAGCTATAGTTTATATAATTTCAGAGGTAAGTTAAAGAAAAAACAAACGTATTTCTCATAATGTTGTTAATTAAATGTTTGCTTTTTATTTTTGTTTTATCTTATAGGTTTATCATTATTTCGTTCCTCTTAAGAACGAGGTCAACTTAAGTATGGTGTGGTGCTTGTTGGTGATATTCTTTGCCATGTAAGTTATTTTGTAATCATTATCTTTTTCTGATAGAAATCTGTTATATTTTTGTTTATTTTTTGTTATTTTAGAAAATTGCTGTCTTCTTTGACCGTTTTATATTTTCAAAGTGAAGAATCTATCGGTGAACGTTCCATGGTCATTGTTGCTTGTCTGGTTTATTTGCTAATAGCCATGATTGTTTTAATTATAGATGAAAGTATATTGGAGACAGGCTTAGAAGATGCTTATGCTAGTTTTAATGCTAATGCTTCCAAATTTTTAGGCGAACAGGGATTGCAATCATCGTAAGTATTTCAGTTCTTCAAAGTTGTGAGTTAAATAGATGATGTTTACAAGTGTTACTCATATAAGGCTGTATGTAGCAGACTACATTCTAATATCAGAAAGTTTATTAAAGAAATTTATCGGCAGCTCAAAATTTCCTATAGAAATCTATCGCTTGCTTCAAGATTTCCTTTAGAAATCTATCGCTCGCTTCAAAATTTTCTATAGAAATCTTTCGCTATATCAAAATCTCCTATAGAAATCTTTCGCTAGCCTCAAATTTCCTATAGAAATCTTTCGCTAGATTTAAATTTCATTTAGAAATCTTCTTACACTTCTGATATGGGGAAGTACTTGCTACAGTTCTTCTTTTTTGCTCTGGTTATTCAAATCAGGCCTAAAACTAGTAGCCGAGTCGTTTGTTTCCTTAACAGTAAACGTCTTCATGTCATCATGCATAATTTGCTCTAACGTCAGTTGGATACAACCCGTTAGGGTTCTAAGGTCTGTGTTTTGACAGCTTTGGAGCTTCTTCTCCTGTGAGTCGCTAACTCTCGGAGTCCGCACAGTCGCTGCGTAGTTTACAACTCACCGACCAATCGTTTTATAGATAGTAGATTTCAGTGGAGTGTGGCGAGGGCATTAGCACGCTATAGAGTGTGACACTTAGTATTTTGGATTGAATTACCGTCGAAATTATTATATATTTTAACTTTATGCCAAAATCATACTTTTCTTTCAGTGGTCCTGCCTCAAAAATAGTTGTTAAATTCTTTATGGCTCTGGGTTGTGGTGTTTTGGGTTCATTATTTACCTTTCCCGGTCTGCGTATGGCAAAAATGCATTGGGATTCTTTGAGATATTGTCGTGAAAATAAATTTTTACAAATACTCTTAAACATCAGTTTTGTTTTGCCCTTCATTTTGGTAATCCTATGGATTAGACCCATTAGTAGAGATTACCTAACGGTGCGTGTATTTCAAGGAATGGAAGAACCTTTGTAAGTATTAGTAGCTTTTCAAAAAGGATTGATATTAATAAAACTATACTTTTAGACTTAAACCTCATATATTTGAAACCCTGCGCTTGTTATTGGTAGTATTTGTGGTGATATTACGATTTGCCTTAATGCCCATTTATTTGCAATCGTATCTCAATTTGGCTCATGATAAAATTATGGATTTACGCAAAGAAGCAGGACGTATAACTAATTTCGAATATCAGAAAAAGGTTAGTTTTTAAAGGGATTAAAAATGGAAACGTTTAATTTATTGAAGTTTGTTTTTTTTTTCGTTTAGATTTCTTCCATTTTCTATTATTTATGTGTGGTTACTTTACAATTTGCGGCACCTTTGATTTTGTGCCTGTATCTTACTTTAATGTACAAGAGTTTGGGTGGCTATAGCTGGACTGGCATATTTACGGAATCAGTTTTACAGCATGAATGTTCAGCAGATCTAGAACCTGCTTTGGACATGTCACAAGACTTTATGGAAGGCAGCGGTGCGCCTCTCTTAACAGAAGAAACTGATAATGAATTTAATATTTTAGAATCGGCACAAAATCTACAAAACTCTATCATGAGTTTAAAGAATGTAAGTTTTCTTTTTTACGAATTATTTAACTGTATATCTCATAAGTTTCTTTTATTATTTTCAGGTGTTCAGCACAGAGGTTTATAAAGGTTTCTTGGGTTTTGCCACCTGGTGGAGTTATTTCACCTTATTTGCCACCTCATCTTTGGGCATTGTTTATCAGTCCTATTTCAACAAAACCTAAATCTATTTAAACCCATCTCCCAACTCCCGAAAAGCAATACATAATTTATTTTATAAGAATTTGTAAAGTTAACACTTCAAATTTTAAAGAAAAAAAGTCATTAGTTAGTAAAAAATTTGAGATTAAGTTTTAACTTCTTCATTTGTTAAATTTCATCAAATCAAACATTTGTAAACAAGTCCTTTTTAACAAATCTTTGCCATATATTCTGTGTGTTTTATTTATTATTTATACTTTGTATAAAAATTGAAAAGATATTTTCATACATAAAAGAATTATAATTATAAAAATTTTATGCAAATTGTTGTTTTAAATTGTGTTCGTTAATGTACGTTTCTTTTTTTGGCTTTTATTTTAGACATATATATTTTACTTAGACACGATATGATTATATTTAATAATTTTTTAATTATATACTTAAATGTATATAAAAAGAGAAAAGTTATTATAAAAAGTGAATAATTTTTTAATAAATTTCAAAAATTTCGAGCTTTTAATGATTTGGCATATAGCATAGTTTGGCATAGTTTAATAATTGTTTATTAATTTTGTTAGTTTTGACACTGGAGTTATTTTTGGCCAACTAGTTTGCTGTACTTTTCTACTGCACTTACTATTTAGTTTTAGTTTGTTTTCTTTTTCATCTTTTCATTGTTTAATAACTAAATTTCGACTTAACTAAAAAATTTTATAAATTAATTTCCTTGTGTAGCACAAAACTAATACTAATAATATATTCAAATATTTCACTTAAAGACCCATTATCTGTTCCTGTTTATAGACAGCATGATAAGCATTACGTATTAAAACATAAGGGAAGCATGACTCCAATAAATCCATAGTTAAGAAAGGTGATTGCTTAACAATTTCATCCAACAACAAATAAATAGATTCACGATTACGTGTAGCCTCACGATCTGATTCTTGACCCAATCTCAATAAAGAAGAACTAGCTAAAGCCAGAAATTCCTTCATGCGATCTTCCATATCGTTTTGTCCACAAATGGTAAAGAGAGCACCAAAAATATAATTAATTGCCACCGACATGCAGTGTGTATTATTGGAATGACCATCAATGGTGGCACGATAGAAAGAATTTTCATTTCTAGCCAATTTGGGTATGGAAACCGCTACAAACACCATTAAAAGACAAGCTATAAGATGTTCTCCTTCATCAAACTCTGGCTTTTTAGATTTTAGAGTTGCTGCCAAAGTAGGATCCACTTTACACATAAGACCAGCTGCTGCCGCCATTTCAGAAGCAACACGTATTTGATCACCTCCCGGCAAATGTTCTTGGAAATCTTTTACCGAACTTAACAAGAAAGGTATACGTTTTTCCAATACATCCACCAAAGCCTCATGTACTAAATTACGGAAACACAGTATAACTCCTATAATAGTCATTCTTTGTAAAACACGATCCACATCCTGTAAACGTTTAAATTGTTCTTTCATAACCTCAGGTTTATCGAAACTGGTGCGTAAGGTAATCAATACCTCTTTGTTTACACCCACCAATGACTTCAACTCCTGCACTTGATTGGCTATATGCCACATTAAAGTTTCATTAAGGGTCTTGATGCCATAAGGACCCACCAATTCGGCTAAAGCTCTCAATTCATTAAGATCGGAAAATTCTTGGGGATTGAAGGGTACCCAACCTTCCGGGGAAATGGGTACAAATGCTTTTTGATTATTGCTAAAAACAATATTGCCGGCTGAAACACGTCTCAGTAAAACTTCGGTGTACCTAAAAATAAATCATAAGCCTTTAGTTCTTAATTCCACATAAACAACCTAGCTAACTTACCAAGTGTTATACAAAGCAGCTATAGTTTTCTCTCCATGAGAATCTAAAGCCTGGGTCTGCTGCAAAAGACAATTGTTAAATACGCGTGTCATGTCAATGTGAACATAATTCTCCACAGTTTGTAAAACATTCATATAGGCTCTTACAGAAGCCAACAACTCAGAGGGTTTAGCTATCTCCATGGTCTCCTGATTAAACATTACCATGCCTACCAAGTCGCGAGAAAAGCGATGTTCTAGATTTTGACACAAATACTCGCGTGGTGCAAAAGCAAATTCCCATACATTAACGGTGGGACAGTAATTAATGGCGTAACACAATTCTGTTAAAGCCATGTGTAATTTATCCATAGTTGTTAAATCTTCACGTGTTTTACGATAAGATTCATCTCCTGGTTTTCTCATATCATCAAATTGTTTCTTAGATTTATCTTTCTTCTTGCGGGCCGATTGCACAGACAAAATTTTGGCACAATGTTTTGGCAACAAAGCATCTGTCATAGTACACTGTTCATCACATATTGTATTAATAATATTCTTAGCCTCCTTGGCCATTTCTTCTAAAAATATATTCACCACACTTAAAGATCTCTCACGTATATGGTGTCTCTCCTCAGGACACATTTCATGTGTACAATTTTGAAAATGCGAGCATATTAGAGGGAAAGCAATAATATAACGATTTTGTGCTGGAAATTCTAGACACATGTGAAATTGATCATCAAACATTTTGCTGTAAAAGCAAAAGATACTCAAATCTGAAGTCTCCACTAGAATTTCATCCAAATTATCAACCACACGAGTATGGAATACCATCGAGTCTAACAGGCGAGCTAATTCAATATGCTCTTGGATGCGTAGTACGGCTTTACTAACACTCATATACGTCTGCAAACGGAACCAATCCAAACGGAATGCTCTAAAGTCAAAAAGTTCATTTTCTTCAACTTGTTTAACAGTCAAACTGGAAGCGGTATTATAAAGTGAAGATAATATAACACTTTCATCTTCAGGACACATTTGTAAACTTTGCATGCGTATATTAAGATCAGTAGAATCAAAACCCGAAAGATATTGCACATAATAACGTTGCATCACTTGACTGTATTTACGTACTAAAGCACGTAATTCTTCCATATGGAATAATAGCTCCGGCAGTTGGCGATCAACAAGATCTTCATTACTTTTGCCTAAAGGTTGGGAAATTAATTTATTTGTAAACAATTTTATCTTGTTAATTTAAACCTTGTTCAATGATTTTTTATTTTAGTTTCAACCAAACTTACCTTTATTCTTCAACAAAGGAGGATTATCATTATGTCTCAGCAGCCACAAAATCTCATCTCTAGCCAAGCACAAACCAATAAATATAAATATAGCTTTAGGACCCAATAAGCCCGGTTGATCGGTCATTATTAATGCCAATTCCTTTAAAGCTGTACGTAAAAACTTCCTACGTTCACGATGCATGAGTGCAGCTTTCTGTACAGCATTTGTATAGGCCTCTTTGACCTCATTTATACGTTTACTGTAGCCCTTAATGCCATCGAAAAATGATTGTATATATTGATGTATTTGCAAAACTTCATCTCGAAAGAGAGCAATAACCCAGCTAGACTCTAAAGCAGAAATCCAAATTTTATTGACATCAGGATACTGAGTCAACATAGAATGATTTAAAAGTAGACCAAATATGATCCAACGATCCATGGCCTCCAAAGATAAATATTCACAAGACATTGTATCAGTGCGCACAGCCTTAAGAAGAATAGCTGGATTGCCCACTAAACTAAGTTTTTGCATTTCACGCCACTTGTCAGCCGAAAGATTACGCAGTGGATAAACCGTGGTCAGAGAACGCAAAGCATTTGTTAATAGACGTTGATGGGGTATAAATTCCTCCGACAATTTTTTCAAGGGAACTTCATAATCTAAAATCATTTGACCCAGTCGAGGAAAACCAGGATCAGACTGGCTGTTTTGCAATTCATAAGCAGCATTATAAAGACCCAAAACAGCTTTACGATCTTCAACTCTCGACAAAAGAATCATCAAAGAAACATAAGTAACTACTAAATCCAGATAGTTTTTGGTTAGTTCAAAATTTTGCGAAATATCCAGATGAATTTGGCAAGCATCCATGGTAGTAAGTAATTCACAAACATTATCCTTAAAATCCAACAAATCCACAAAAGTATGATAATATAAAGATAATGACTTGGTTATTTCTGCTTTTATATTCACAATGGCATTTAAGCCTTTAACTTCGGTATTGGGAAATCTTTTCACTATAAATTTTATCGTAGATTCCAAAGACTTTTCCGATAGAAACCCAGGTTTAGATTTAGTATCCCCACAGGCTTTTTTGATGTTGTAGACTCTAGTCAATATACCCAAACCACGATCATTGAGTATAATTAATTTTTCAGCAATTTTTTGCTGATTGGGATAAATTGGTCTAGCCATGGTGCAAAATATTTTATTTTCCAATTAAGTTTTTTTTTGCAAATTTATTATGATACACATAAATTGCGGAAGTCGCAATTGTCAACCGGCCCCACCTTGAAAAGTTTCTTTGCACTGTTTTCTAAAAAAAAACAACGATTTTTAAAAACTATTTGTTTTTCTTATAGTTTATAACTGTGTTAACATATTTATTATAACTTTTTTCGCTAATTTACTTATTTAAATGGTAAATTTTACATTTTTCTCAAGAAAAATAATTTTTTACTGCACATAAACAATTGATGACAAAATTTTGACGTTTGTATCAAAATATTCTCTGTATATGAGAGTAACTGTGTTGTTTTGTTTACAGTTTATCAAAACATTGTACACAGGGTGATTAATAAATATTGTAATTTATGTGCTAAAAATTATTCTTTGTGTTTAACCCAATAAGCACTTTTTGTAGAATTATAGTATATTTTGATTTAAATCAGGATTGCATAAAAATATAGCAGAGTCTATAATAAAGCAGCACAAATGCAAAAAAATTGGTTACTAAAACACTGAATTATGAACACATTTATTTAATTTGTGTAATACTTTTTTATTTATATAGAGAGCTTTGAAAAATGCTTGTAGTGATAACATTTTTAGGTTATTAAAAGGAGTTTAACGTGTAAAGATATTTAATTAGGTTATATAATGTTTTAATTACAAGTCTTTTCTTTGCCAACAGATTTATTTATGCATTTTTTATTCTTTAAACCATTGAACAAGAATTTCGACAAGGAGTCGAATTTTATCCAAAAGCAACTCCTCTAAAACTGCTGGTTGTTCCGTTATTATCTCCATATTTTAAATATTTTAAAGTTTATTCTCATTATTATATCATTCTCCGTTCTTTTTCAAATACGAAATGAAAAGATCTTATTTTTCAATTAAAAAAAGTGTTTCTAGTGATTCTTAAATTTAAATCATATAAAAAACTTGATACATAATTAATTTTCTTGTGTACTGCAATCTTAATACTATTTCGTTTCAATATTCAACTTAAAGGCCCAATATCTGTTCCTGTTTATAGACAGCATGATAAGCATTACGTATTAAAACATAAGGGAAGCATGACTCCAATAAATCCATTGTTAAGAAAGGTGATTGCTTAACAATTTCATCTAACAACAAATAAATGGATTCTCGATTACGTGTAGCCTCACGATCCGATTCTTGACCCAATCTTAAAAGAGAAGAACTGGCTAAAGCCAAAAACTCTTTCATACGATCCTCAATGTCATTTTGCCCACAGATAGTAAAGAGTGCACCAAAAATATTATTTATAGCCACTGACATGCAATGAGTGTTATTGGAATGACCATCGATGGAGGCACGATAGAATGAATTTTCATTTCTAGCCAATTTGGGTATGGAAACGGCTACAAACACCATTAAAAGGCAAGCTGTGAGATGTTCTCCTTCATCAAATTCGGGCTTTTTCGTTTTTAATGTTGCCGCTAAAGTAGGATCTACTTTACACATAAGACCAGCTGCTGCCGCCATTTCGGAGGCAACGCGTATTTGATCACCACCCGGTAAATGTTCTTGGAAATCTTTTACCGAACTCAATAAGAAAGGTATACGTTTTTCCAACACATCCACTAAAGCCTCATGTACTAAATTGCGAAAACCCAAAATGACTCCAATAATGGTCATTCTTTGTAATACTCGATCCACATCTTGTAAACGTTTAAATTGTTCTTTCATTACTTCGGGTTTATCGAAACTGGTGCGTAAAGTAATCAATACCTCTTTGTTTACTCCCACCAAAGCCTTTAGCTCTTGCACTTGATTAGCTATATGCCACATTAAAGTTTCATTAAGAGTCTTAATGCCATAGGGACCAACCAATTCGGCTAAAGCTCGCAATTCATTAAGATCGGAAAATTCTTGGGGATTGAATGGAACCCAACCTTCAGGCGAAATGGGTACAAATGCTTTTTGATTGTTGCTAAAAACTATATTGCCAGCTGAAACACGTCTAAGTAAAACTTCGGTGTACCTGTACAAAACATAAATTATAAATTAGTCAACATGCTTAACGGTTCAAAACAACCTGTCGAACTTACCAAGTATTATACAAAGCAGCTATAGTTTTCTCTCCATGAGAATCTAAAGCCTGGGTCTGCTGCAAAAGACAATTGTTAAATACACGTGTCATGTCAATGTGAACATAATTCTCCACAGTTTGTAAAACATTCATGTAGGCCCTTACTGAAGCCAATAGCTCGGAGGGTTTAGCAATCTCCATTGTCTCTTGATTAAACATAACCATTACAACTAGATCTCGTGAAAAGCGATGTTCTAAATTCTGGCACAAGTATTCGCGTGGTGCAAAAGCAAATTCCCATACATTAACGGTGGGACAATAGTTAATGGCAAAACATAATTCTGTTAAAGCCATGTGTAATTTATCCATAGTTGTTAGATCTTCACGTGTCTTGCGATACGATTCATCTCCTGGCTTTCTTATATCATCAAATTGTTTCTTAGATTTGTCTTTTTTCTTACGAGCCGATTGTACCGACAAGATTTTGGCGCAATGTTTTGGCAACAAAGCATCAGCCATTGTACACTGTTCGTCACAAATGGTGGTTATTATATTCTTAGCCTCCTTGGCCATTTCTTCTAAAAATATATTCACCACACTCAAAGATCTTTCTCGTATATGATGTCTCTCCTCCGGACACATTTCATGGGTACAATTTTGGAAATGCGAACATATTAGAGGAAATGCAATAATGTAACGATTTTGTGCTGGAAATTCTAGACACATGTGAAATTGATCATCAAACATTTTACTGTAGAAACAAAAGATACTCAAGTCTGATGTCTCCACTAGAATTTCATCTAAATTGTCGACCACTCGAGTATGGAACACCATCGAGTCTAACAAACGAGCCAATTCAATATGTTCTTGTATGCGTAAAACAGCTTTACTAACGCTCATATACGTCTGCAAACGGAACCAATCTAAACGGAATGCTCTAAAGTCAAACAGTTCATTTTCTTCAACTTGTTTTACGGTCAAACCGGAAGCGGTATTGTAGAGTGAAGAGAAAATAACACTTTCATCTTCGGGACACATTTGTAAACTTTGCATGCGTATGTTTAGATCAGTAGAATCAAAACCCGAAAGATATTGCACATAATAACGTTGCATCACTTGACTGTATTTACGTACTAAAGCACGCAATTCTTCCATATGGAATAATAGCTCCGGTAGTTGACGATCCACAAGATCTTCATTACTTTTGCCTAAGCGTTAGGAAATTAATTTATTTGTAAACAATTTTAACTGGTTTCAATGAGTGTTCAGTGCACTTACCTTTATTTTTCAACAATGGAGGATTATCATTATGTCTCAGCAACCATAAAATCTCATCTCTAGCCAAGCACAAGCCAATAAATATAAAAATAGCTTTGGGACCCAATAAGCCCGGTTGATCGGTCATTATTAACGCCAATTCTTTTAAAGCTGTACGCAAAAACTTCCTACGTTCACGATGCATTAGAGCCGCTTTCTGTACAGCATTTGTATAAGCCTCTTTGACCTCAGTTATACGTTTACTATAACCCTTAATGCCATCGAAAAATGTTTGTATATACTGATGTATTTGCAAAACCTCATCACGGAATAACGCTACAACCCAACTAGACTCCAAAGCAGAAATCCAAATTTTATTAACATCTGGATACTGAGTCAACATAGGATGATTCAATAGAAGACCGAATATGATCCAACGATCCATGGCCTCCAAAGACAAATATTCACATGACATGGTATCAGTACGTACGGCCTTTAGGAGAATAGCTGGATTGCCAACTAAACTAAGTTTTTGCATTTCACGCCATTTGTCTGCCGGAAGATTTCGCAGGGGATAAATGGTGGTCAAAGAACGCAAGGCATTTGTTAGTAGGCGTTGATGGGGTATAAATTCCTCAGATAACTTTTTCAATGGAACTTCATAATCTAAAATCATTTGACCCAAACGAGGAAAACCAGGATCAGACTGGCTATTTTGCAATTCATATGCAGCATTATAAAGACCCAACACAGCTTTACGATCTTCAACGCGTGACAAGAGAATCATCAAAGAAACATAAGTAACCACCAAGTCTAAATAATTTTTTGTTAGTTCGAAATTCAGTGTAATATCCAGATGAATTTGGCAAGCATCCATGGTAGTAAGTAGCTCACAAACATTATCTTTAAAATCCAGCAAATCCACAAAAGTATGATAATATAAAGATAATGACTTGGTTATTTCTGCTTTTATATTTATAATAGCGTTTAGTCCTTTGACATCGGTATTGGGAAATCTTTTGACAATAAATTTAATGGTAGATTCTAAAGACTTTTCAGACAAGAATCCAGGTTTCGATTTGGTGTCACCACAGGCCTTCTTGATGTTATAGACCCTCGTTAATATACCCAGGCCACGATCATTGAGTATAATTAATTTTTCAGCAATTTTTTGCTGATTTGGATAAATGGGTCTAGCCATGCTGATAGTGTAATTTAATTCTCTTTAATTTGTTTCTATCAGTTTAACACTAATACTTTTATCTAAGGCACAGAAGTCTCAATTTTATGCTGGCTGTGACTTGACCCCACCTAGAAATTTTTGTTTATTTGTTTTGTTACAAAAACTACAACTTTATTCAAAACATTTATATTTTTTTGTAGTCGTCTTGGCGATTTTCACTTTTATTATAAATTTTTTAATGATTTTTTCTATTTAATATGTAAATTTTACATTTTTCCACAAAAATATCACTTTTATCACTTCACATAAATATTGATGATGACAAATTTTTGACATTTCAATAAAAATAGTTTGTATATGTGAGTAGCATTGTTGGTGTGTTTACAGTTTTTATATGGGGATAACAGGGTGACGTGTGTAAATGAAAATATATTGCTTACTAAAATATAGCATGCGATATAATTAGTCTATCTGGCTATAAGGAAATAGTTATTGTCTGTTATATTTGTTATTTCTGAATTTAAATAAACAAATTTGAAATTTCCAAAACGGCATTAATTAAATTGTTCCTGGTTCCAAAAAATATGAGTCTCTAATATTGACCATTTTCAATTACTCCGTAATTACTCAATAATAACGATATAAAAAGATCTATTGATTCTGATTAGCTTTATAATTTGTAATAAGAATTTTTATGAAATCATTTCTCATAATGTTAAAACATATTTAATAGTTCCTAATAAATAAATTATCAAAATGTCAAATTAGATATATTTGTTTTGTTTTCCATGTATATGTTGAT